CTAAATTTCTCCAAGCATTTGTTCACCTGTATAATGGGGATAGAACCTAGGGTCTTTACATGAAGTAACGATAGTGTATATAGCTGATTATCACAGTTTGTGGAAGTAGTTGCTCACAAATTGATCATTTCTGTTGTCATCAAGTGATATATACATATTTTTTGAACCTAGGATGTTTACTACCCTAGTACGTTATTGTCAGCCTACTACTAAAATTTTGGCATATAAGCTCTTGCTCACCCCACAGAACAGATACTATAAATGGGGGTTCAAGGAAGGATTCATGGTAGCCAACAGCATTCAAGTATCATTGGTGGGCATTGTGCGCACCCCTCAGTGCTCCGTGAGCTGTCCTGCAGGAGTGTTTTCAGATTAATGCCGCAACTCTGAGAAGAGAAGGGGGAAACAACTACTAGATACCAGAAAAATTTCACTTGTGAGTAATCTTTAACCCACAGGATTTTTATAGCAGATGCTTGCATTTTCCTACGGCACAGTACTCTGTGTACCTACCATGCTGGATAAACAAGTGCTGATGAATTTGCACCCTGGTACCATAGAAACAGTGGAAATCAAAATTAAAATAGAGCTCAATAGTGATCAGGTTTCCTAGGCCAAATCGAAGCTTAGTGCTGAGGCAATTGTTCAGGTAATTCAGACCCAAATGTGTGTGATAAAAATGGAGCTGACATTTATTGAACACTTATTATATGCTGAGCTCTAATGCTAAACATTCTGTGTGTTCTACTGACTAGTCTTAAAAGTATTCCTGTGAACTACGTGTGTTGTTATCCTGACTTTATAGGTGAGGCTGTTGAAACTTGGAAAGATTAAGCAACTTGCCCAAGGTTATAAAATAAAACAGAAACAGGACTGAAACTTTGATGCTAGAATTTGTGCTTTCTTCCTCTGGATAGTGTTACCAGTCATACCTTTGCCAGAGGTATTTGGCATGCTGTTTCCACTTTGTTGGTAAAATCTTGACTAATGGAATGAAATGAGATGCTACAAAAGAAATATGTAAATATAGTGTTTTCCTTTGCCCAATAAGATGTACTATACTTTTGGTCAGAATGACAAAGTAAAATCTTTTAGGAAGACCAATGAGGCCAAAGACTAACCAATTAACCAGCCAACAAAAACCAGTATAGCTTATGCTTCTGAAACCTCGAGTGGAAAATAAGGTCTAAATGGTATGAAATATTAAGTGTGGTTGATGTATAGAATCTTCCTGAGCAGAGGTTGGGAATTTTATGGACTTCAAGATTCACATTTTTTTTTTTTTGCCAATGAGTCTTTCTCACATGTGTTTAATCTGTATAATAATATTCACTCCAGTCCACGGAGGCTCAGTATGAACACTGAACACCCTTCCGTAGGGAGCTGTAACTTTCATGTACCAGGCCTCATATTCATCTTGCTGCTACTTTTTTTTTTTTAATCCTCACCCGAGGATAGTTTTCCATTTATTTTCAGACAGAGTGGGAGGGAGAGAGAGAGAGAAGCATCCATGTGAGAGAGACATATCAATTGGTTGCCTCCCATATGATCCCAACCAGGGCCAGGGACGAATCGCAACCGAGGTACGTACCCTTGACTCTTTGGTCCACGGGCCGATGCTCTAACCGCTGAGCCAAACCGGCCAGGGCTCGTCTTGCTTCTTAAAACCTGGTTTACCGGTATGTTCCAAACCAAAAGAGAAGCTACAGTTTACTCTGAAAACATTCATGGTCCAAGAATTAAAAGCTGTAGCTGTGTAGGTTTGTGCATGCTCTGACCCTAGGTAGACCAGAGTTATTTTCTTCTGTGGAGGTCTTCTTAGATGTTTTGTAAGTATATTAAAGAAATTATTTTATCTCCAAGGCATATTAAAATGACAAAGACTTCAAAGATATTAATTACTTCTGTTCACAGGGAAGAGATCTGAGCGTGATACTTTTAGTTCCACTGACTGTTATGCCCTGTAGTCTAAGTCTCTCTGTAAAATCCTATTTGTGAAATGATATTTAATTTCCGGAATGTGGATTTTAAGTAGAATATAGTAAGTACACAACTTTAAAAAGGAATGAGCAGTTCAGTCTGGTATTTTAATTGTGTTAGTATCAACGCTTCGCTTCTCAGTGGTGACGAGAATTGAAGCAGCAGATACAGCAGATAGTCCTGAAACTTCATTTTGGGTAAACTTCACACTTCCCAAACTTTGTATTATTTAGGTTAGAGACTGAGCTGGAGCAGAAGGAAGGGTAACAGGAATTGAGCCAGTCATGGAGCTGCGTAGTCTGGCTGGTCTATGGGATTGAAATCTCAGGAAGACGAGATTGCAGGCAACTTTTGAGAGTGCGTTTTTTGTCAACCTCCTGTACCATCTGTTTTCACTGAGGTAGCAGAGCAGAAACCTCTTAGATTTATGTCATAAATGTACTGCAAATATTTTCTTTTAACAATCCAGTGATTTGTACTGGTGATTTGAAAGCCGCTAGGTAAATTGATCACAGATTACCAAGTTAGTTGACAGGCTCTGCCATTCTGCTTACTTAGCTGGAATAGTAGGCTTTGTAACCTTCCTGTTCCAAAAAACAAAAAAAACAAAACTGTAGCCCTGGCTGATGTGGCTCAGTTGGTTGGAGCATCATCCTGTGTACCCAAGGGTCGCGGGTTTGATTCCTGGTCAGGGCACATACTCAGGTTGTGGGTTTGATCCCTGGTCGGAATGCATGCAGGAGGCAATGATGGATGTTTCTCTCTGACATGGATGTCTATTCTATTTCTAATGATATTCTAACAGATAAAAGGGTTTACAATATATGAAGATTTAAAGTGTTAATGAATCATTCTCAACCACTTCTGACAAATCACTTTGAAGCAATGTTTGCCTATGGTGTCTGGAAAAAAGGGCGATACCAGTCAATAAATACAGTTCTGTACCAAATGTTTTACTCAAGGGATTTCCACCCAAATTCCTGAAACTATCAAGGAGTTCTTTGTGGGGGCCCCTTCTGACTGTGGTCCATGTGTATAATGGCCTGTGTGTGGGGATTCCCATCACACCTCAGTATGGTGACCCTGTGAGAACAGTAGTTCTCAGGCTTTTCAGAACAAGGATTCTCATATGGTAATAATATTTTTAGTATTTGTGGCTTGACAAAATGCATAATAATAATGAAGCATTATAAATTCAGTAATACTTTGTTTATATTTTATTCATTATAGCAGCACCTACACACATTTTGAAAACAGTAGTGCTGTGGTACATTTACACAGTGGAATACTATGCAGCTGTAAAGAAAAAAAAGAAGAAGGATCGCCTGCCCTTTGAGACGGCATGGAGGGAGCTGGAGAGTATTGTGCTAGGTGAAATAAGCCAGTCAGAGAAAGACAAGTATCACATGATCTTGTTTATATGTGGAATCCAATGAACAAAATAGATATGGTGTCATGGAAGCATAGAACAGATTTGCAAATCTCAGAGGAAGGGGGGCGGGGGCAGGAAGAGATTAACCAAAGAACTTGTATGCATATAGGCATAATCAATGGACACAGACAACAGTGAAGGAATGGGGGAGAAGGAGGGACATCTGTAATGCTTTCAACAATAAAGATAAATTTTTTAAAAAGAAATAGGATTGACACTAACATTTCCAAACCTTTTTTTTTTCTCACCTGAGAATGAGTCCTTTGTTTTAGCCTTTCAACCTTGGGATAGTGACTACCACTTCTGAGTTATTCCCACAGTGCCTGTGACATTCTGTGACTCTGGATGTCTAAAGAAATGCTTCTTTGATATAGATGCATATGTCCTTAAAAAAAACCTTATTTGGTAGGAATCTATTTGGGTAAGAGCAAGATGCTAAAACCTTAAATCCCCTTTTTCTTGCAAGGAAATAAAATATGCCTTCTATAATTTTCTTTACTCTGAACAGATAAGCCAGAAATACACAGTACTTTAAGCCAGGTTGCATGATAACAAATTCCATTTTTAGCACAGTTCAAATTAGTTGAATTTTACTTTATTTTACTTACAGAGGGGCTAAAAGCCACTTCAAAACTTAATATCTCCTGTGGATCTCATAACTAGAGTGCAATTTTTAAAACACAATTTGAGCCCTGGCTAGGTGGCTCAGTTGGTTGGAGCACCAAAAGGTTGTGGATTTGATTCCTGGTCGGGGCATATACTTAAGGTTGCATGTTCGATCCCTGGCACATATGGGAGGCAACTGATGGATAGTTCTCTCTGGCATTGATGTTTCTCTCTCTCTAAAAACAAAACAAAAACCCCAGCACAATTTGATCTCAGGTTGCCACAGGAAATTGAAAAGGCCCGTGACTGCCCTGGCCAGTTTTGCTCAGTGGTTAGAGCATCGGCCTGTGGACCAGAGAGGCCTGGGTTCTGTTCGCTAAGGGCACGTACCGCGGTTGCAGTTTGTCCCTGGGTTTGAGTCGTATGGGTGGCAACTACTTGATATGTCTCTCTCACTCATATCGCTGTTTCTCTCTCTCTCTCTTCCTCCCCCTCTCCCTCCTGCTCTCTCTCAAGATAAATGCCAAAGAAAAAAAATGTCCTCGGGTGAGGATAAAAACAAAAAAAAGAAAAGGCCCATGATTGTATTTCATTTGAATCCAGGTTTTATGTTTAGCAATTTACTTAAGCTTTTGTAATGTTTTTCATTATTGCTAACTTATACAGGTTCTTTTATGAAAAAAAAAATAGCTTTATTGAAATTGCTGTATAATAAACCTCAGATATTTAAAGCACACAGTTGGATGAGTTTTGATGTAGAAACCATCCCCACAATCAAGATGGTGAGCCTACCCCTCACTCCCAGAATTTCCTGTTGCCACTGTGTAACCAACCCCCCCCCCCCCGCCCCCGGCCTCCCAGGTAACCGCTGGTCTGCTGGTTTGCTTTCTGTCGCTAGATTAGTGTGCCTTTTCTAGAATTTTATATTAATGGAACCATACCGTCTTTTTATTGTCTGGCAATAGTGATGTATGTTTTTTAGTTCCAGTTCGGACATCATAAGAGATCTTCTGGAAGAAGAGGAAGCCTGGGAAGCAGCACATAAGTAAGTTCTCATCATCGAAAAGTAAGCATGTGCTTTTGACCTGAGAAATTATAATTCTATCTAGTTGATTTTCAAAGTAATATTTGTGCTTTCTGATTTAAGAAAGTAATAATTCACACACATCAAGGTAAAGATTTCCAGTTTACTAATTGTTTCTGTATATTTCTGCTTAGAAATGGAACTCCAGTGTAATAACTCTGAATCCTTGTCAGAAGTTTTTCTAAAGACAAATTGTTCCAATGGGTGATTAATAGTTTGGTTTTAAGCACTGGCTCCAGAGTCTTTAGAAAACGTTTAACCCTTTTCTAGATGTTTCTAGTCATAAGTTTTGTTTAGTGTAGAATATATGCAATTTCACTTCTCCTGTACCACTCATCAACCAGTCCTTCTTGGACTCCCCAGCATCCAGGCCCCCCCTGTTGTGGCCCTAGGCTATCAGCTGTCTCATGGAATGTCATTCCTTATGCATGAAACCACCCCGCCATTCCGTTGCAGCCAAGCTGAACTACTGACTCTCAGTCACCTCCGAGAGTCTGCCGCGTTGTCTCCGTGCTGCCACACTGGCTGCTGCTTTGCTCGAATTGCCTTCCCCCCTTTCTTCCTCTAGCTAGGACTTGTCATTCCTTCACAGCTCCGTTCAGAAGGCCCTGTTTGCTCCTGCAGCCCTCTGCACTTAACCCTGACTCCCTTTCCAGAGAGTATGTTCTTTGGACCTCGACTCCTTGGCATCCAGCACACACAGTGCCTGGGTAGCCCACGTGGGCACTCAGCACGTGTCTGAGTGCATGCGTGTCAGGCAGTGTGAGCTCACTGTTAGGTTCCAGGCATTCGTGATGTGGCTTACATGGCTCCAAGAACCTGTGAGTGGATAAAGATTACCATTTATTTTAAATTTTTTATCTCATAGTGCCTTAAAAAGGAAATTGCTTTCTCTAGTATTCTTATAAAATCAGAAAAGGAAGAGTTATTTTCTCTGTTGATGATCTGCATTTTATCCTAACATGAGAAGTCATTTGCATGTCTTATAAGCCTGTCGTATTTTCTAATGGAGGGCTATTAATAATTTGGCTGCCTTTCTTTGGGGGCATAACTTGATTGAAGTTTAGCATATATACATTAAAGTGGACAGATGTTAGGTGTACAGCTGGATGAATTTCATAACTGAATACACCTGGGTTAGGGTTACTTCGGTGCTGCCCTCCCACCCACCTCCCCCATGAACCATCCCTCCGGGTTCACACGTGAAGCCCTCCCTGATTCTGGGCCTGGCCATGGGATGCGATGAGAAGCTTGATGAGCGTTTGCACAGTGGGCCTTTTTTTTTTTTTTTAATTTTTTTTTTAGAGAGAGACAGACAGAGAAACATCAGTTTGTTGTTCCACTCATTTGTGCATTCATTGGTTGCTTCTTATATGTGCCCTGACTGGAGATCCAGCCCACAACCTTGTCATATCAGGACGATGCTCTAACCAGCTGAGCTACCCGGCCAGGGCCTGCACAGTGGTTTTTGTCCGTTTGGAACACTCTCATTGGGACGCTTCTTCCTGAAACAGCCCCTCCGCCCAGCCCCTCCGCTGTGAGAAGCCCAGTCTAGGCATGGGATAAGGCCAAATGGAGGAGAACCAAGGCTCAGCCCTTCCCTCGCTGAGCTCCCAGCCAACAGCCAGGGCAGATTACCAGTCATGTAAGTGAGCCTTCTTTTTTTTTAAGATTTTTATCTTCACCCAAGGACATTTTCCCATTTTTTGTTCAGATAGAGTAGAAGGGAGAGAGAGAGAGAGAGAAACATCGATGTTACAGGGACATGTCAAGTGGCTGCCACCCACATGACCCAACCAGGGCCGGGGACAGACTACACCCGAGGTACCTGCCCTTAGTGGGAACCGAACCCAGGTCTCTCTGGACGACAGGCCAACATTCTAACCACTGAGCCAAACTGGCCAGGGCGAGCCTTCTTGAAAGTAGGCTCCAGACCCAGTTAAGCTGTCTCTTCTGAGCCCTGCCCAGATCTAGAATCACGACCCAATCCACGATTGTTTTGTTTTTTGCCTTTTAAATTTGAGAATGGTTTGGCAAGCAGCAATAGATAACCAAAACAGTTTCTGTTCATGTGTAACAAATCACCCTAAACCTTAGGAGCTTAAACCACAACCATTTTATTTCCTGATGATTCCTCAGTCCGTGCTGGCCTCAGACTGCTGGTCATTTATGTGGCATGTAGGCCGCAGGCAGGGGACTGGGGCCCATGTTCTGCTGAGCTATCTGGACTTCTCTACTTTTCCATGTAGTCTGGGAGTCTGTTCTTCACATGGCTTCTCTCCATATGGTTTTTTCAGCAGGATAACTGGATTTCCTGTATGAAGTTTCAGGGCTCCAGTAACAATTTTCAGTTTATTGCCTCTCAGCTCCAAATTTATTTTTTTTGCCTGCTCTGTGAAAATTGAATTGGGCCCTTTAAATATCATTCTTTGGCCAGCTCTCTTGATGTCAAGCTTTATTATTGGAGGGCACTGGGAAAACATTGTAAGGGGAAGAGGTTCTGCCTCTTGGTTGCCGTGAGCTCACTGGCCAGGCCCCTGAGGCGTCACTTCTTCAGTGTCCGGTCCTGCAGAGCACGCTGACCCCCGGCTCCCATTGCTTTCCCACGGCACCAGCTCTCGGTCAGCCACAGTTGTGGCTTCTTCATCCAGAGGTGTCTGGATGGTCTGGGACAGAACTGTCAACCGGGTATTTAATGCCTGCCCTGGCATACACACATAGCCCTTGGCAAAGACTGGTTTTGCAAGGGGTCCTGTGTTATATTGGTTCCAGGTGATTAAGGAAACATATCCAATCATTAGCTGATCACTAAGCTGAACAAGCAGACACTTCAGTGGCAACATACAACAAAAATGCATATTTACAGGGTTACTTGAGAAAATCACTAAACAACAGCAGCAAACAGCAACATCAACAAACCCTAGGGAAGTAGGAGAATCTGATTTCTAGAGTTGCCACAGTATATTGTTACAAATGTCTCGTTTTCAACAACAAAAAAATTATAAGACTTACAAAGAAATGAGATTCTATATGACACATACACAGGGTTGGGGGAGGGGTCAGGGCAATAAAAATAGCCCAGAGGAAGCTCAGACATTGCATTACTAGACAGACAATCAGCTGTTTTAAATATGTTCAAAGAACTAAAGGAAACCTTATCTAAAGAGCTAAAGGGAATTGTGAGAACAATGTCTTTCAAATAGAGAATAATGATTAAAAAAACAGAAATCAGTGGGGAAAAAGCAAATTTCGGAGTTGAAAAGCATAATAGCTGAAATGAAAAATTCACTGAGAGGCTCAATACCTGATTTGAGCAGGTGGAAAAAGAAGCAGTGAATTTGAAGGTAGATCAATTGAAATTATTTAGTCTGAAGAACAGAAAGATAAAAGGATGAAGAGTAATGAACAGCCTCAGACCTGTGGGACATCAGCAAGCATACCATTGTCTATATAATGGAAGTCCCATGAGGAGAGGAGAAAGAGAAAGAAATAGAAAGAATATGTAAGGGAATAGTACCTGAAAACTTCCTAAAGTTGATGAAAAACATTAATCTTCCCATGCAAGATGCTCAATAGACTCGGTCAAAGACAGAGAAAATTTTGAAAGAAGCATGAGACAAACAACTCATCATTTACCTGAGGTCTGGTGATTTCTCATTAGAAACCATAGGTGCTGGCCAGAGGCAGCAGGATGACATTTCAAAATGCTAAAAGAAAAAAATACTGTCAACCAAGAATTCTGTATCTAGAAAACTGTATTCAAAAATGAAGGAGAGCCCTGGCAAGTTTGGCTCAGCAGTTGGAGTCAGCCTGTGGACCAAAGGGCCATGGGTTTAATTCTCGGTCAAGGGCTCTTGCTTGGGTTGCAGGTTTGATTCCCCACCCTGGTCAGGGTCATGCTGGAGGCAACTAATCTATGTGTCCCTCTCACGTTGGTATTTCTCCCCCCCCCACCCCCACCCCTTCTAATCTATCTAAAAATCAATGGAAAAATATTCTCAGGTGAGGATTAACAAAAAAGAAGAAGGAGAAATTAAGACCTTTCCAGAGGAAAAAAATGGAGACTTGGTTACTAAGAAATCTGTCCTATAAGAAATACTAAAGGGAGCCTTTCAGGCTGAAATGAAAGGACAGTAGACAGTAACTTGAATCCACATGGAGAAATAAAGAATACCAGTAAAGATAATATAAAAGTATAGGTAAAGACAAAAAACATTATAGATGTATTTTTTATTGTAACTCTCCTCACGCTGTATCAGATGTAAAAGACAACTTTTACACAAAACAATAATTATAAAATTATAAATCTGTGTTTATGACCATACAATACATAAAGATATAATTTATATGACAATAAAAAGAAAGGACAAAGGAGCAAAGCAAGTTAAGAACAATGTTTTTATATACTATTGAAATTAAGTTGGTGTTAATCTGAACTAGATTATTTATAAATGTTAATTCTTCAGGGAAACCACTAAGGAAATAAAATTTAAAATACAGTAAAAGAAATGACAATGGGAATTAAAGTGGTACACTGGAAAATATTTAACACCAAAAAAGGCAGTTAATAGAGGACCCCCCCCCCCAAATTGATATAAGCACTATAGAAAACAAATAACAAGTGACACTCATAAATCCTGCCTTATCAGTAAATACATTAAGTATGAATGGATTAAACACTCTATTAAAAGGCAGAGATTGGCAGAATGGATTTTTTTTTTTAACAAGCATGATTCAACTGCATGCTTTCTGCAAGAGATTCAAAGACAAATAAGTTGAAAGTAAAAAGATAGAAAAAGATATGCCATGCAGCAATAACCCAAAGAGAGCTGACATGGCTATATTAATACCAAAGAAAATAGACTTTAAGACAAAAAAAAAAGTAAAGACAAATATATTTTATAATGATAAAACGATCAATCCATTAAGAAGATACAGTAATTATAAGCATATATGTTCCT